CAGGACCCCAGCCAGTGCAGCCCCTGGCAGTGCAGGATTGGGCTGGTGCCAGCCTGTGGCAAAGGGCTGGGGTTAGCAGCCGCCCCAGCAGTCCATGGCAGCGTGGGGCAAAAGCCCTGGGCAGCCCGTGGAAGTGGGTCCATAGCCCAGTCAGCCTGTGGAAGTGAAAACGGGGCCGGAGCCCCAGAAAGTGAGGCCAGAGCCTGCGGGCTGCCACAGGGCTGGGACTGAAGCTGGAGCCCTCAGCAGCTCAAACAGGGCAAGAGCCAGCCCCCAGCAGCACAGGGCCAGAGCTTGTGGCAGTCTTTGCTGCTGGAATCTGGCAGGCAGTCCAGCTAGGGCAGCAGCAGTGGAGCCAGCAACCCAGCAGGCAGCCCGGCCGGGGCTGGAGGTAGTCCCCTGCCTCTTCACTCCCCCCATCCCAGCTGGCAGAGTCGGAGGCTAAGGGCTGTGGCAGGGAACCTTCTCTGATCTAGCGAATTCCCTTGTTTGGGACCAGTTAGGTCCCCAGGTGCCAGATAAGAGATGTCCAACTTTGTCTTGTGGAAGAAATGTTCTTTAGGTGCAAACTGTTATCTTTTTTGTATTTTGGGCATCTTATTGATATAGTTTGTTGCATTTCATATGAATATATGTATGGATAAAGTCAATTGTTTTTTTTAAGTTGTTCCATGCAGACCAGAGGCTGCAAAGAGTACAGCTCCAGCTGAAAGATATGCAACATGCTGTTGTGGATTCAAAGCCTGAAAGTAAGTAGCAATCCATAAATGTTGCTTTTTACTTCTCTTGGTGCTAGATTCAGAAAGAATGAAAGTTGCTTGGTAGTTATTTATTATCCTAAAGTGCCAGAAAGGAACCTCAGAAAAGCTGAAGAAAGAAACTGTTTGTTCAGTGAAGAGCTTATAATCTGAAATTGTCAGCCCTGGCGCACAGCAAAGAATGAAGGAGACAAACAGTAGAGAAGAATGGAGTGAGGAGGGAGAGTTTAGTGTAATAGCAACATGAATGTCTCTATTTAGGCATGTGTATGCTTTGGTGGCTTAATTTTTTAATATTTTAAGAATACAATATTCAATACTAATGATTATAAACTAGAAAGAGAGGTGACTGGAAGTAAAAATGACCAGTGATGTAAAAGTTGATGGATTTAATACAAACTATGTTTTTAATCAGAAAATTTTATGTGTATTGTGTGTGATTGGAGAAGAAAATGTATAAAATACTGCCTTTTTCAGAAATGAACGTGTACTTGTAACATAAATATAGACTTGTTTTCCGTAGTTCCCTTCATTTGACAAAATATTTAGCTGAAAAAAAATACTGAAACTTTTTTTTAGCTGTTAGGGCGGGTTAGCACTATAGCTTTTATGAAACTTGAAATAAAGCCACTTTGCAATTATATTTGTTTCTCAGTATACAAATTGCATGTGGTGCTTTGTTCTTAACATGCAATTGTTGCCCATGTAGTTTTATCGGACTAGATCAGGAGTGTCAAACTCAGTTTACCTTATGGCTAGTGGGCCATTGGGGTTTCCTCTCTGGCAGGGCTTGGGGCAGGTGGAGGGATCTCCATGTGTTACCCTCGTCACCCCTGTATTTTCTAGCCCTGGATGCTGGTCCACACACTCCCCTTCCAGTTTAACACTCCTTCCCCCCCTCGGTGCTATCATCAGTAGCACAGCAAGGCTAGAGCAGAATGTCCCTGTGGGCCAGAGATGTGCGCAGAGTCATCCCATCCATAGGATGGATTTGGTGTGGCTGC